GATAGAGAGAGAGAGAGAGAGAAAGAAAGACATACGTAGATAGATAGATAGATAGACAGATAGATAGATAGAGAGAGAAAGAAAGAAAGACATACGTAGATAGATAGATAGATTGATAGATAGATAGATAGACAGATAGATAGATAGAGAGAGAAAGAAAGAAAGACATACGTAGATAGATAGATAGATTGATAGATAGATTGTTTAAACGTTATTTAAATGGATACCCATCTTTGAGTAGACGTTCTGTTTTTATATATTTGTTAAACATCATATCTATTAAATAAATATGGGTATCGATTAAAAATAACGTTTCGTCGTCGTCGGCATCCGTCTGTCTCGAGAGACGATGGAGAAGCCCAAGTGCGCTGCGAGCCTGGGGGGGGGGATATATAGAGAACTAGGGCTACCCGGACGTCTAGTTCCCCTTCTCGGCCTTGCTAGCAGAGTTCAAAGGAGAGGATAAACCAAAACAGTTTGGTACCAGCACGGCTGCAGGAGTTAAAAATAACGTTTAATCAATATATACACACACACACACACACACACACACCCACACACACACATATATATATATATATATATATATATATATATATATATATATATATATATATATATATATATATATACATAAATGAGAAAGAGAGATAGACAGTTCTGAAAGGCTTTGATAGTTTTAAATACGATCATTAAGCCAGAACGCTATCGAGAAAATCTATTTTCCTAATAAATGTTTCTCTTTCGCAGGATAGTCCTAGGTATGACGATAAACTACATCCGGCAGCAGTGACGCTAATTGTGATATTGGAACTTTTGAGTATCCAGAGTGTTAGTATCTGTTAAGGTCCCAGCAATTGGCAAGTATTAAAGTCCCAAACAAAAATCAAAGGCATTTTTTTAATATAAAAATAGCAGCAATACATTTTTATTAAAAATTACCAACAACACATTTTTGTAGTGAAATTATCAGGAATACATGTTTTAATTATTACCAACAATACATTTTTATATTTAGATGGCCAACAATACATGTTTATAGCAAAATGGTCAACAATACCTTTTATAGCAAAATGTCGAACAATACATTTCTATAGCAAAATGGCCAACAATACCTTTTATAGCAAAATGTCGAACAATACATTTCTATAGCAAAACGACCAACAATAATTTCACATAGTAAAATGACAATCAATACATATTTATACGAATATGGTCAACAATACATTTTTATTGCAAAATGACCAACAATACCTTTTATCGTCTATAAACTATATACCCAAAACAATATGCGTTTTCCTTGAAAATATAAAATGATATACAAAAAATCTGTATTTGAAGGCTAATAAAACTACTTACATTATTCGGACAATTATCCTCATTGCTATATTCACAGCTTTCCGGCCGTAGTCCCCTCTCGAGTTGATTTAAATTTCGTCCTTTGTTTCGTCTAACAGATGTAGTAGTTATTCCCCTTTCACCACTGCTATAGCCCGGTATTGAACTCGCAACACTTTGAGTCAAATCAATGAATATAACCAAAGCCTTTATCCACTGGGGAATGTCATCTCGAATTCATTGGTGCGTGAATTTCTGGGACTTATAAACCTAATATCTCATAAACGTTTTTACCCGTGCTCATATTGCAATTTTTCTGTTATTATCATTCCATATTTTTTACCAGAGCTTATATTACAATTTTTGTTTTTTTCAATTTTTTTCTAGCACACCTTATTACTGGTTCCCATACTTTATTCATTTCTATGCTTGGTCGACTCAGGAGATTTTTGTGCCCTAGCATATATGCTGATTCCTTATTTTTCATATTTTACAGTGATTTTCTCTGTTTATTATTTCAACGTCATCCCGCGGGGGGGGGAGGGGCGGTGATCTCCCTTTCCCTTCCATATTTGGTCAGTTACGCCTGATTTATTTTATTTCCGCTCGTGTTACCGCTTTACGATGTTCCTGCAGTCTTACCTTAAGAGGGCGGCCTGTTTCTTTTTTGTATTATGCATAGAATGGCATACACACTATCCTTAGTCATGTTCTCCTCTATGGGGGAGTCTTACTCGGAAGAGGTGTTTGTGACGTGTTGAACTACTTTTGAAGGTTGTCGATGTATATGGGCTGATGATCTTTTGTATTTTCCCCAATAATCCCTTCACATAGGGTAGGCAGATTGCAGCTGTTTTCTATTTTTATCCTCTTGTATACTTCTATCCCATTTTGTCGGAGCTGGTGTCAGCTACCCAGTGTAGCTGTTACGTTGTAGGATAATGCTTATACTGACCATTACATCTTCATATATCTCTGGCTCGCCACTTAGGACTTTTTCTTGATGTTGTAAGCAACGAACGATCCCTTTCTTTACACTGTATGTATGCTGGAAGTTGAAGTGATGGAGGGTTGCGGCATATGGATGTCTTAAAACCTTGCTCTGTTCAAAATATTAGTAGATCCAGAAATACGAGTTTTTTGTTGTTTATTCTCTCCGTTGTGAACTGTATCGATGATCTTATTGACTTCACATGGTCCAGTAGTAGCTGAACCTCTTCCTGATGTGGCCAGAATATGAAGGCCTCATCTATGTATCTCAACCAGAAGGTTAGTTTTAGCGATGTAGATTCTAATGCCATTTCCTCAAATTATTTACCATTGCTGGTGATAATGGCGTGCCCATTGCTAAGCTCTCGTCCTGTCGATATATGTCTGACCCCATTTCAAAGTGTGTTGTCTGCGTACAGAAAGTCAGCATCTCTATCAGGTTATCTATTGTTATACTGGTCCGTTCTCCTATCCAGTCTTCGAAATTCTAATCACCTAAAGAAGGCCGGAGCGTACAACGGCTAAAACGTTGTGAATATGGCAATGAAGATGAGGATAACTGTCCGAATAATGTAAATAATCCAAGTAATCATAATACTTCATCTCAGAGATATAGACAGATATATAGAGAGACATAGTCATAAAGGCCGAAGTGTAGAACGGCCGAAGCGTTGTGAATATGGCAATGAAGATGAGGATAACAGTCCGAATAATGTAAATAATGCAAGTAATTATAATATCTCATCTAAGAGATATAGACAGATATATAGAGAGACATAGTCATAAAGGCCGAAGTGTAGAACGGCCGAAACGTTGTGAATATGGCAATGAAGATGAGGATAACAGTCCGAATAATGTAAATAATGCAAGTAATTATAATATCTCATCTAAGAGATATAGACAGATATATAGAGAGACATAGTCATAAAGGCCGAAGTGTAGAACGGCCGAAACGTTGTGAATATGGCAATGAAGATGAGGATAACAGTCCGAATAATGTAAATAATGCAAGTAATTATAATATCTCATCTAAGAGATATAGACAGATATATAGAGAGACATAGTCATAAAAGGCCGAAGTGTAGAACGGCCGAAACGTTGTGAATATGGCAATGAAGATGAGGATAACAGTCCGAATAATGTAAATAATGCAAGTAATTATAATATCTCATCTAAGAGATATAGACACATATATAGAGAGACATAGTCATAAAGGCCGAAGTGTAGAACGGCCGAAACGTTGTGAATATGGCAATGAAGATGAGGATAACAGTCCGAATAATGTAAATAATGCAAGTAATTATAATATCTCATCTAAGAGATATAGACAGATATATAGAGAGACATAGTCATAAAGGCCGAAGTGTAGAACGGCCGAAACGTTGTGAATATGGCAATGAAGATGAGGATAACAGTCCGAATAATGTAAATAATGCAAGTAATTATAATATCTCATCTAAGAGATATAGACAGATATATAGAGAGACATAGCCATAAAGGCCGAAGTGTAGAACGGCCGAAACGTTGTGAATATGGCAATGAAGATGAGGATAACAGTCCGAATAATGTAAATAATGCAAGTAATTATAATATCTCATCTAAGAGATATAGACAGATATATAGAGACATAGTCATAAAGGCCGAAGTGTAGAACGGCCGAAACGTTGTGAATATGGCAATGAAGATGAGGATAACAGTCCGAATAATGTAAATAATGCAAGTAATTATAATATCTCATCTAAGAGATATAGACAGATATATAGAGAGACATAGTCATAAAGGCCGAAGTGTAGAACGGCCGAAACGTTGTGAATATGGCAATGAAGATGAGGATAACAGTCCGAATAATGTAAATAATGCAAGTAATTATAATATCTCATCTAAGAGATATAGACAGATATATAGAGAGACATAGTCATAAAGGCCGAAGTGTAGAACGGCCGAAACGTTGTGAATATGGCAATGAAGATGAGGATAACAGTCCGAATAATGTAAATAATGCAAGTAATTATAATATCTCATCTAAGAGATATAGACAGATATATAGAGAGACATAGCCATAAAGGCCGAAGTGTAGAACGGCCGAAACGTTGTGAATATGGCAATGAAGATGAGGATAACAGTCCGAATAATGTAAATAATGTAAGTAATTATAATATCTCATCTAAGAGATATAGACAGATATATAGAGAGACATAGCCATAAAGGCCGAAGTGTAGAACGGCCGAAACGTTGTGAATATGGCAATGAAGATGAGGATAACAGTCCGAATAATGTAAATAATGCAAGTAATTATAATATCTCATCTAAGAGATATAGACAGATGCATTAAAACTGTTTAGATTTTGGCATAAAATAACCCATAGAGGTGTTGATATGGCGGTAAACAAAAACAACCAAGTCTTTTTTCGGAGCAATTTGCTTCAAAGAATACTCGATTTACTCAATGCAAAACGGATGATAAATGAAATCTCTTTTTAGTCCTTATTAACCCAATAGAAAATGGCCAACAATCACGCTCCAATAACATTAGCATAAAATAATATTTCCTAAGATAGATCTAAAAATTAAGATGCTGAGATGGAGAGAGGGAAGGAGGGAGCATTGTTGTATGAGAATTGGCTGAGATGGAAATGGAAAAGGAATTTCTTTTGATAAAGAGAATTCTAAGAATGACAAACCACGTGATGCGTAATCCCATCGATCACGTGTCAAGTAATAAGCTCATTTGAAAACCTCTATGTAAGCGGATTTTGGCCTGTTACACACACACACACACACACACACACACACACACACACACACATATATATATATATATATATATATATATATATATATATATATATATATTAATAAAAACTGAATAGACAGACCTGTCGGTAATATTCAATTAAACTTGTTTAAAAGAACTCTTGTTGCTTAAATACACACATATATATATATATATATATATATATATATATATATATATATAATATCTATTGATCCAGATATCGAGGTTGCTTTTATCGTTGTTTTGATGACTGGAAGCACACATAGGTTTAACATTTCGGTAAGTATGCTGACGTAGGCCTATCAATAAAACCGATGATGAAAAAAAAAGCGCTGTTTCTCTAACAGAAACTCGTTTCACAAATTAATCGCCTTTCTTATCAATGTAATTTACCGGAAAGTTTTCTGAACAAAATTCAGCTCGTAACTGTTAGGTTTCGAACATATATAAGTAGATAAGCAGGCAATACCAGGTGCTGTAAATTTGGATTTTGTAATGCATAATATCTCGTAATTTCTATTCGGAGAGCCGAGTTCCAATTTCATTTGGGTTCGTTAAATTCACTTACACGGAAATACCTTTGCGAAAAGTATTAATCCACCTCTTCTCCTTCAGCTATGGGTTAATTAGTAAGACTTTTATGAGTAAATCATTATTATCTCAAAAACATTCTTACAGCATAAAAACATTTTCTTGCTTTAAATAACCTGCAAAGAGTTGATAATACGTAGACAACGAAGAAATCAGATAGATAAAGAATTGATTTTAATAACTCCACCAATTTCTTATTGTTTTTTATTAATATATTGATTGAAACATTCACCGCTCATCCTCAGGGCATTTTTGAAAAGTCTTAAATATTCTTGAGTTGTTTCAGATCTGGAATTAGTAATTTACATTTTAATCTTTGAGAAATATTCTTTTTCTTATTACTGCTTTTTTTGTTTCGATTTTCTGCCTAAATAAATAAATAGGAATTTAGACGAATCGTTCAATGCAAATTAAAATACCTAAAAACTTTTAAAATGACCAACAAATTATATGGAAGCTGAAAAATTACAATAAAAAAATAAACAAACTTTGTCGGGTGAAGTTAATATAAACTTGTAATGATTTAATCAATTTCTATTTTCATCAAATAATAAAATCGGAATTAATAATAATTTTTTGTTGTTTAGACTATGTAGCCCAGAATAAGTTGATGAAGGAGAGAAATATATTGAAAAAAAAAACAAAACATTTAGACATCTTCACTATCCACACGATTTCATCCTCAACACTAAATAACGAACAGACAAAGTTTACAATTTCATAAAATTGGACACCAAAGACAGCCCTTCTGATATCAAAAACACAAAATTCATAATCCTGCCCCACCAAACGCACGCACACACACACACATATTTCATTTTTTTTCATTGGTACAAAACATAAACATCAACACGTGGAGACAGAAACAGTTAAAAACTCTTTCAAAAGCTTAGCGAAACCAAGGAAAGATTAAAAAAGGAAAACAGCAAATTATTTTTTCTAAGAAAAACACTGAAAATCCAATTGTAAGTAATAAGGTTTTAATTCTTCACTGAAAAATTTCATATATCATAAATAAATAATACTATATTAAATATTAGGAGCCTTTTTCTACAATACTCATTTTAGTCTATACAATAAGGTTTAGTACAGAATCTTTCTAATAAAATTTTTATCTATCTATCTATCTATATATATATATATATATATATATATATATGACAAAAATATAGTTTTATGGTATGCTATATTTATAGGTTAAAGTGTTCAATATCAAGGACAGAGCGTATGTAAATATACATACGTACATACATGCATATATATATATATATATATATATATATATATATATATATATATATATATATAATAGATAGATAGATAGATAGATAGATAGATAAGTAGATAGATAGGTAAAGAAATGAACACAGCAATTTTTTTTTGTCTCAGAAAAAACAAGACCATGATGATGACATTGTGCTTATCTCGAAAGTACTCGGAACAAATATTCATCAACATGGTAATTTTCTTTCTTCTTTTAATAAGAAACTTGCCTGTAAATATGTGAGGATGCTATTAAGAATAAGTAGACAAAACTTATCTAAATTAGTTAATGAAAACATGCTGCCAAATATAGGCTATATATATATATATATATGTGTGTGTGTGTGTGTGTGTGTGTGTGTGTGTGTGTGTGTCTAAGTGGGTAAATTATATAATCTTGCATAATGAGTGCACTATTACTTCATGGAATTATAGCAAACGGTGAGTACATTTATTATTAATATTATATATATATATATATATATATATATTTAGGCAACATTTTTCATTGATCATTGAACTTTTAAGGGTACTTAAACGGTAATAAATTATGTTTATGGTCCTACTACTTTTGAACATGTATGTACGGTCTGTATGGTGAGTTTCTGAGTGTAGTTTAGGTGTGGCACAAGGCAGAACGTGTGGAGAACCCGGTGAGGATCGAATTCACTACTCAGTAGGAATTGATCTAGCAAGAGAACCTTGCTAACCATTTTAGCACGTAAAGTGTCCAAAATGATTTTCTAAACGTAGCTTAGATGTAGCACACGGCCGAAAGTGTGGGGTACCCACTGAGGATCGAACTCACTACTCGCAAGACAAGCTTGTTAATCATTACACCACGTCGAATTGCCAGACGCCCTATGAATATGAATATGAATTTAGTGTTACGTGCCGAAAATGACTTTAAAATTAAGATTAAAGCATCTTAGTGTGTTCCTTTCTTTATTACGTCAACTCTAAAAAAAAAGAAAAACGATAACAAATTTTGCATACCCATTACATTAAAAGAAATCACATTAATTACAGCTGTCATATTTATGTAATTTATCCGTACAGGGATTCTCTTTATTGTTAAAGAAAATTCGATATTTTAGGAGGGAATATTAGGAGATCAAGAATTGTGATTATAATAAATAGATTTGTTCAGGTAATACGAAAAGTTTGTTTAATCTGATTTGTTGAAAGAGTTCTACAAACACAAGAACAGATTAAACTGACGTGTCAAAAGTTATGTGATAGCATCATCTACAGGTAGATCGTACCGCCGTAACTTGACATCATTGAATTGACCAGTCCCAATAAGGAAACATTTCAAACCTCATCAGAAGTATGGATGACCAGAAGGAAATGAGTGCCCCAGTCTATGTAAACATTTCCTAGACTATGCCCTGCGCATATACAAGCATAGAGAGGAAGAGATGGTCACTGATTATTTAGGCGTTCCATACCACATCCCAAACATATTTACTAATATAAGACAATAAGGCCGATGACACAGGTATTCATAGTTGGGATATGATCTGGAACAAAATAAGAATCTTCTATTAAGTGTTCTAAGAAATAGGATTCAAGATAAACCTTTCCAAAACATAAATTATGATCTGGAATTGGAATGAAAGCAGTGAGGGCACCTACCCTGAAACCATAATCAAAATGAAAACATCCTCTATCAAGTGTTCTAAGAAATAGGACTCAAGATAAACCTTTCCAAAACAGAAACTATGATCTGGAATTGGAATGAAAGCAGCTGTTCTGAATGCATTATAAAATTTCCGGGCGTGAAATTAGTAAATACTAAATATTTCAGTACCTCGTCTATGGATCAATTATAACAAATTTAGTATAGGAGATAAGGATATTGAAAATACAATAGGCTGCACGAAAGGTAGTTTCGCCTATCACCGCAAATTACTATCAAACCGAAATATTAAACTTAAACTTCGTCATGTTCTTAAATAGACAGATCGAGACATCATGTATAGATCCATAGATCCGTTCAGAAATATCTAAACTGTCAGATGTATACAAACGCTTTCTAAGATCAATGGTTAAAAATGACATTGAGTGAGTGAAGTTTGTGAATTTTGTAAAGACCATCCTTCTTCGAACATTGTTGACTGGCGCTACACAATCGCAAACAAGAACTGCACCAGACACCACGTCGCTTTAGAGATTTCAACGGCAGCAACAATAAAATGGATTGCAGATGTAACATGTAAATCGAAAAGAAGATAATCAAATGTTGAGATTTCACGCTACTTCGAGCAAAAGCGCAGTTAGGAAGGACACTACATCAGTACTTGAAAGAGTCATAACAGCTACTGGACTTGACAAACCTATTTTCTCGAAAATTTGTTCTAAGAGAGAAACAATGTATAAATTCCAACCGACAACAACACTGGTTACTCGGTTGGCGCATGTTTCTTTACGCCATCAGTTGCGCGCCGATATCAGCTGATTCAACACCAACTAGGCTGCTCATAAAAAGCGCCACCGTAAATCATTAAACAGCGCATGATGATGAATGGATGGAACATTTACCAAAACAGGCAGGGTATCTGAAATCTCATCTACGGTGTACCAGGAATACTTGTTCGTAGGCTTTACCTTGAAAGCGCACTGGTCGACCACTGGTTCGTGACAAGCAACACTGGTCCAAATCAGATTCGCATGCAATACAGGAGGTATAATAATAGTTCTCTAGCTTCCATAGAAACAGAATACCCACTAGGTTGCTCTTGTTGGCACCACGGCACCAGGTATGATGCCTCGCGAGAGCTTCGTCATTTTGAAGAAATGGAATTGTATGGAATGTTGTGGAATATTCCAGTTGTTTCGTCTTAGTGGTAAGGTTTACATGTATCAAAGATCTCATATTATAATGAACTCCGTCAAAACGGCACTATGCAGGCTGTTAATGGTTCCATAATGGTGTTCAAGTGGCATGGATTGGATCAGCTGGTTCGACTAAGGGACTAGTGCGTTTCACTAATTTATAATCGGTTGTACTCGTTTCAAGACTACATGTACACAAAAGCAGGATAATAAAGTGACCATCAGAATAGGAGAATACGTTCACCTATCGTCCGCTACCTATTTCCTCATTTTTCTTTCGCTCGCAGCAGCGTCTTAATGTCATTATCGCCTTCATTGGGGTGAATTGATTAAAAAATGAGAATACAAATTCCTATTTCTACGGAATACAGTTAAAAGTTTATTCGACTTGTGATGTTCTAAGCTTCTGTCTTTTATGTGTTAATTATTTTTCTCCTCAAGAGTAAACAGGTTCACCTACAGCCCGGTTCACACTCCTTCCCGTTCTTTTGAACAGCGGTAGAGGTTAACTCTTTGTTTCCTGTTTAAAATTACATTTCCGGTTTCTTCTAAAATTTACTTCAACTCTATATTTTACTTCCTCTGCCAAAAGTCAGAAATTTGATTTACTATTTTTTTTTTTTTTTCAATAGGAGTAGATAGGTTTGCCTATTATCGGGTTCACACACCTCCCTGTCTTTTTTAATAAGAGTAGAAGTTTATCGCTTGTTTTCTATTTAGGATTGGATTTCCTGTTCCTTTTCAATTTTTTTTTTTTCATTCTCTTTCACTACCAGTAGTCTCTTGCGTCTTTGTTGCATTATCACCTTTCTTAGGGTGAATTGATATAAAAAAAGGGTTCATGTTGCGCAGAATTAGTTTGAGGAGCTTTCTAGAGATTTTCGATGAATAATGTGGTTACAACGTTTGTCCAACATGAGGCCAATTGAGAATTTATGAGACGTGGCGGCGAAGTCTATTCACAAAAAAGATTCTACAGCGTCAGATATCAAGAAGCCGTGGCTAGTTATCAAGATGGCATGGCTGAAAAACTCTTCAGATGTCTTCTGGCTATTAGGGGAATTGATATCAGGTCATCCTCAGAAAACTTTACTTTTATTTTTCTTTTTTATCATATATTTTAGATAATTTTTTTTTTTTTTAAATGGAGTTCTCGAAAACTTTGCTAGTATTACGTCACATCTCCCCCTCTCTCTTCCAGTTTCACTTTGTAATCACTCTCTTTCTACATTACCTCCCCTTACTATATCTCATTATTTGTCGCCCTCTCTTTTCTTTCTCTCTCGCATTCTCTCCCTATTTCCCTATGTATTTCTTTTTTGGTCTTTCTCTCTTCCTCCTAACGCTCTTTATCTCTCTCTCTTTATGTATCACGCTTTCATCTGCCTCCTTTCTTCTCTCTTCTACCCTTTTTATTTCTCCGTTTTCCTTACATTTCCTCTTTCTCTCTCTCTATAACATCATCTTTCTTTATCTCTCTTCCTTCCTCTTTATATTTTTGTCTATGTCTTTCTCTCTATCTCCTTTTCTTACTCTCTCTATTAGCTCTTCTCGATTCCTTTTTATTCTCTCTCTCCCTCTCTCCCGCTGTCACTTGTATTACCAAGCTCACTTCAAATAATTTGCTTTCAATCTTGTTCTATCTCCTCTCCTCCTTTTCCTTTCTCAAAATATCTCCTCTTTTCTCTAGCTTTCCTCTCTACTTTTTTCCTCCTCCTTTCTTTTATCTCTTACCCTCTCTGGAAAATCTTCTTTCCATCTCTCCTTCCTTTATTTTTAGTTTATTTTCTCTTTATTATCTTCCCCCCTCTATTTCTTTCTCTCTCTCTCTCTCTCTCTCTCTCTCTCAGGAGAAACTTAAAATCATTCGAAACCCAAACCACATCTTTCATTGGTCTAAAAGGTAAACTAAATATTTTCCTTTATCTGCTCTAATTAAATGTAGCTGAAAATATTCATAAATTCTTATTTGCCGTGTTCCCTGAGGACTTAACGTTAATGACACCCCATAATTTATTATTCTTTATAGCTTTTAGCTATATTTAGGCTTTACTATCCCCACTCCATTTCCTTCCACAATTTACACATTCTCAAACGGATATCAGAATTAGCAATACAAAATGGAGAAGCCATGTTTTATCAATTATTTAAAACCTGTTGACAAACTACGTCACAAAGAATTGTTGGAACTGGTAGGTAACCTTGCCATTTGTAAAAGATATTAGAATAATTTAGAACATATACTGGTATCAAACCGCCTGTATACAGAGAGAAAATGACTTCAAAATGGCGTAAGGCAAGGATGTGTCTTCTCACCGGACTTATTCAATCTATACAATGATACAATTCTAAGAGAATTAGAAGCCCTACCAGAATTCATTATTGGCGGTCAGAATCTAAATAATGTAAGATATGTATATGGCAAAGTGCTGATAGCAGACACAGAAAGGAAACTACAATAAATCCTACAGAAGGCAGTGAAGACAGGATGTATGGTTGTTTGCAAAATGAACAGACCAACATGCAAATTACAAATTGGAGATACCAAATCAAACACGTACAATTTAATTATAACTTTTTGCTTGTGACTCTGCGTAAAAAAAAAACAAAAAAGCAAAAAAAACCTGCTGTACCTTTAACAAAGCCTTTACCAGATGATGGCCTTAGAGACTGCTATGGGTTTAGAGCTGAAACATATTCAGGGCATCGTAGTAGCATCTTACGATCCGAACAGAGTTTTTTTGGTTTTTCAAAACAATGTAAGAATGGTGGATGAAAATAAGCCTCAACATCTTTTATTCATAAATATCCAGTTAATGTTCAGGAGTCCAGGAAAGAAGCGTCAATTCAATGATTGTTTTAGTGAGCAAAGTACATGACATCTACAGGGCGCTGAAATTTTAAGACCAGGCTAGATATTATCTGATCTGATAAGACGCCCGCCTTTTAATATTTAAACTAGTAGCTTTGGAACTGCTGGGTAACCTTGACATATTTGGAAAGGATATTAGAATAATCCAGAAGATATATTGGGAACAAACCGCCTGTATACGGATAGAAAATGAATTCAATCGACCTATAAAAATAAAAACAGGATATCTACCAACGGCCCCACGCGGTCAAATGTGGCACAAGTCCGAATTTAATGTGGGGTATCCGAGTCCGTAGGCTCGGCCAAAAATTCCCCGTAGACCCCGCATAAAACAGAATCGGGTCGCTGTTTCCCGAGACGAGACTCTGACCTTCGACATAACCTCGTCTGGAATCCTCCCTGCCCGGAGGCAGAGAGTTTGACCAGCTCAGCTGGAGACGAATCTCCAACTTCAGGCCAACATATATTATTTACTACTGTATTTATATGAATGGAGACATACCCATTATCGTCCATAGATATACTACAACAGTGTTTCTTCTCACCAGACTTATTCAACCTATACAGTGAGGCGATTCTAACAGAATCAGAAGTCCTACCAGGATTCATTATTGGCAGCCACAATCTTAACACCATAATATATACAGTGCCGGTAGCAGAGACAGAAAGAAAACTACAAGAACTCCTACAAAAGACAGTGAAAGAAGGTGAGAAGAAAGGACTAAATATCAATTGCAAGAAGACAGAATCCATGGGTGTCAGCCATAGGAACAGCTAGATATGCAAATTCCAAATTGGATATACCAACATTACAACAATTTAAATATCTGAGAGAAGACATGAGTGAGTTAGCAGATATTGACACATTTAAACGGTTAACTTAACGGAAGTTATATATTGATATCGAAGGGGTAGAGAAGAAAAAACCATAGAGAGAAAAAGAGGGAAGGAAGTTAAGAGAGAAGATGTCACTAATTTTCTTTGTAAGACAAGGCTAGAAACAGACGCTGTTATTTATATATATATGTGTGTGTGTGTGTGTCTTCATCTTCTGAAACATTTTTAAATCAATTTTTATCACCATGAATTAGTTTTCGAAGGAATCATTTTTTTTCTCTAGATCCAGTTCACTGCCAACCAGGTTTGCTTGTGAGACAGTTATTAATTTAATTAGGGAGAAGGAATTCAGTGAATTATTAAGGGCATTTTATTGAGGGCTCGATGACTCTTGAGGAAATGAGATTGATTGCGTTAGTATCGCCATGTTTTTCTTCCTTTTTATTCTTCTTTAAAGACAAGTAGACGAAAAACATGAAGCAAAAATATACTGATGATTTTGGAAAAAGCTGAATTCAAGGAAATCAAGATGATAAAGCCTTGAAGAAGATACAATGAAGAAGAAGAAAAATAAAAAAAGAGAGGAAGGTATGATATTGAAGAAGAATGAAAATTTATCTCGCCAGAATCTATCTTACATATTTATAACTCTACTTTCCACCCATGTTTTGAATATCGCTGCCATATATGGTCCGATACTTTTGCTATATATTTAGAGATCCTTGATAAAATCCAAAGTAGAATTTGCAATGTTATTGGTCCTGACATGGCATCATGGCTTCAGACCCATTCCCACAACTGTAACGTAGCTTCTCTGTGTTTTTTCCAGAAATACTTTCATGGTAATTATTCTGTTGAACTCTCTTCTGTGGTACCTAGACTTTATCAATGTAAGCGCAGTACTAGATTGGCAGCTAGGTCTCATCATTTTACAGTTTAAATAGCTAGATGTAACCATAAGTTCTATGCTAACACCTTCTTCTAAAGCACTTCTCGCTTGTGGAACTCTCTTCCGACCTCTTGCTAGCTTCCCAGTAAAAATTTGATCTTCAATAATATAAATGCAATATCAACCGTTAGATGTAACCGTAAGTTCTATGCTAACATCTTCTATCGCCCTTCTCTCTTGTGGAACTCTCTTCCGGCCTCTTGCTTGCTTTCCCAGTCAAATTTGATCTTCAATAATATAAATGCAATGTCAAACGTTAGATTTGGTATACTTAATTCTTGTTCTTTTATTGTCCTCTATCCTTAATAGTAGTTTTTCTCATATTCACTAACAGTCAGTAACCTCTTGCGTCCTAGTGGCTTTATTGCCTTCCTTAGGGTGAAATGATTAAAAAACAGAAGAAGAAGAAAGGAGAAGAGGAGAGAGAAAAAAATTTAAATGTTTTAAGTATAAATAATGAAGAAGGAAAAAGTAGAAATAAAAACGAATCGGAATAAAAACGGAAGAAGAAATAATGAAGAAAGTAGGATAAATCAAATATGAAGTAAGGAGCAAAAAAGAAGAAGACAAGAAGAAGAAGAAGAAGAAGAAGAAGTAGTAGTAGTAGTAGTAGTAGTAATGGAGAAGAGGAAGAAGTTTTAAGGCGAAGCAACAAAAAGGAAGAGAGTAAAAAAGAGAAAAGCAAGAAAGAAGAGATTAAGAACTAAGAAAAGAAAGAACAAAACAGAAAATTACTCATACAAACGCAAACACACACACACACACACACAAACACACACACATATATATATATATATATATATATATATATATATATATATATATATATATATATATATTATGTATTATTTTAATACCTATACTGGGCGGTGTGTAAAAACAGATTATACAATTTGTAAATAAAATATATTTGAACAAACCGATAACAGTAAAAAAAGAAAAGCCTAAAAACATCCGTGTTGGTCGTCGAAAATAATCAATCAGCACTGCAATGTCTTGTCAAAAGAAAAAACACTGACAGAATAAATTATGTAAAAACGTAAAAGTTCTCAATACACTAAGTAGAGCAAAATCTAAAAAACCTAGTGAGTCAAAATCTATCTATCAAGGTTTTACCTAATGGATGTTCAAGGTACTACTGGCTTCTTAAGTAGTACCCTGAAGATCCGTTAGGTGGAACCTATATATATATATATATATATATATATATATATATATATGTGTGTGTGTGTGTGTGTGTGTGTGTGTGTGTGTTACATAAATGGGATATATGATACCGACAGAGTTATAAATTATTGACTATTGGAAAGTAATGAAGTATATTGTCTTGAAAATATATCCGATTATGCATTTCGTGCTTTAGGCTTCATCAGAGCGAAAGCGAAAAATGAGTTGCGTGTGTATTTGAGTATGTTTATTAAAGAAAGAAATCTTATATATATATATATATATATATATATATATATATGTGTGTGTGTGTGTGTGTGTGTGTGTGTGTGTGTGTGTGTGTGTGTGTGTGTGTGTGTAAAAATTTCAGATATGTCTGTAAAGTGAAAATATGAATAAAGACAAAAAGAAAATTTATCCTAGTCGACGCGTTGCGTTTCGTCCTCTCTGGGACTTTATCAAGGCAAATGTAAGGAATTTATTTTGTAACAAGTATTGAAATACAAGAGCTGAAATGCTATTGATTTTTTACAAAATTTTTAAGTTTAGAAACTTTCATAAATATTCATCAAGTCAGGCAAAAATTAAAAGAGAAGGAAAAATCCCCGAGAGTTCGGCCATCGAATTTTATCAAAATATAAATCTGCGCCCTGGATTCTATCCCAATACTTCCTTTTCCTGAACGAATTACTAATTTCCCAAGCCATGACACATGACTACAAAAATGTTAAAAACTCCCAAGCCATGACACATGACTACAAAAATGTTAAAAAAAAAAACAAGCCATAAAACATGACTACAAAAATGTTAAAAACTTTAAAGAAAATGCTTAAATTCTTAAACTCATATTATTCAACATATAGAATACATAAGTGAATCCACAACTAAAATAATTTAATACTACACTATTTACATTATTCGTACTATTGTTCTCATCTTTGCCGCCATATTTATTACAACGTTTCTGCACAGTGGATAAAGGCGTTAGTTAAATCCAGTGACATAACCCAAAGAGTGTGAGTTCAATACCCGGTTGGACTTTGGAGGCTTACAGTACCAGGTGTTCCCAAGCGGTCCCCCATCTAAGTACTGACCTGGCTCTACGATGCTTAACTTCGGTGATCGAACGAGAACCGGTGTTTTCAGCGTGATTTGACCGTAAGCCAAAGTCCAACCCTCGGTGGGTGGGTGTAAACGGTAGTGTCAGAGCTATGCCGCCCGGAACTTCGTTCCTGGTAGGGCCACCCAAGGCGGACAGGTCTGACACACACGCCGGCTAACAAGGGCTCTGGTAAAAATCCAAGGAGCGTCTGCATCAGCAACCGGCGGCTTCTGGTCGTTCCTGTCTCTGCGTCTGTGGGAATCCCCGCGGCAAGCAAGAACGTTATCCGAGTAGACCTGGGTACCCTACTTCTGTAATTTATCCCAAGAATCTTCTCATAACAGGAAGAAGCCGGCTCAATCCGCCCAGGCTGAATGCCGCATCAGTACAGTAGTAGTAGTAATACCCGGTTAAGGCAGTGGAGAACTTGGTGAGGGAATTAACAGGATATAACTGATAACTGACATCCATTAAAAAACACGGCACGTGGAACTAAAACACTCTACCCCAGTGAGCGAAATAAAGGGTTCAGTTCGAATATATATATATATGCACCCCTGGTCAAAATCTTTAGACCAGATACAAAAGAGTTAAAAAAGAAAGCGAACTACTGTTACTTTAATCAAAATATATTTCGAAACATTTACATTTAATTAGAAAATGTAGTTTATCAAAAAACGCGTGAAAATTTTAATTGATTAATTTAAACATTGAAAAAAGGATTTTTTAATTCGTCATAAAGATACGACCATGTGTGAAAAAAACAAAAATTTTAGAACTAGTCAGTGTGCTCATAGCTTGAAGCGTGTAGACATCTACGTAGCTCATTTCAGATTTTAAAATGGCTAAGAGTAAAATTTTAACAAAATTCAAACAGAACAGGATTGTTGAAATTCAAAGACGTGGTCTTTCGCAACGAGCCATTGCAAATGGAATTGGCCGTAGCAGAACTCATTGCTAATTTCATTAAAAATCCGGATGCGTATGCCTCTAAAAAATCAAGCGACCGTCCCAATAAAATCTCACCATCTCTAGACAGACGCATTAGTCGAGAAGTTAAGAGAGATTCAAGCCTAACATCAAATCAGATAAAAGCAAATACAGATGCTGAATGCAGCTCTCGAACAATTCGATGGGATTTAAATAAGAAATAGTTTAAAAACTTGAAACGGCTGCAGAGGCCTCGCATTCTTCTTCACCATAAAACATCCCGTTTACAAGTTGCTTCCGATTAGCAAACTTGGGATGTAGATAAATGGAAGAAAGTGTTGTTTTCAGACGAGAAAAATATTCAACCTTGAAGGACCAGACGGTTTTTAGCGTTAGTGGCATGCAAAAGTTGTCTAAAAGAAATTTTCTCAACACGACGCAGTGGAGGTGGATCAATTATGGTCTGCGGTTCATTTTCGTACAATGGAGCTCTTGAGTTACAGGAGGAAAAAGGTCGTCAGACAGCTTCTAGTTACATTGACATGGTAAGAAAGGAATCACTAATTATTGAAGGCCTTCATCTATGTGGAGAAAACTGGATTTTCCAGTAGGACAATGCTGCAATCCATAATGCTCTCCAGATCGAAACCCAATCGAGAATATTTGGGGATGGATGGCAAATGATGTTTATAAACATGGATTGCAATTTGAAACTGGGTGCTCTTCGTGCTGCAGTTTATGCATCCTGGGCGAGCATCTCAAGCACCCTCATGCAGAAGTTAATAATGAGTATGCCAAAGCGAATTTTCGAAGTAATTCGCAAAAATGGAGGATATACTAAGAATTAAATTGTCGTTGTGACTTATTTGTACTGTATTTGCTATATTTATTTACATGGTCTTATCTTTATGACCAACCAAAAATATTCTTTTTTCAATGTTTGTTTAAATTAATCAATTAAAAGCTTAAAATGTTCACTGTTGATAGTAACAGTATTTTATATTTTTGTAACCCTATTATATCTGGTCTTAAGATATTTATCAAGGGTTGTATATATATATATATATATATATATATATATATATATATATATATATATATATATATATATATCATTTATTCGAAAATTATAACATAAATATGCTATAAAATCACTACATATATTATACTTGGATATATATATATAAATATCTCACTCCTGGTCCTCCTCCTCCCCCAATACAAACTATGCTTGAGAGAGATATGAAATTAATCCTCCCTATACTCTACCATGTCTCTTTAACTACCCCTTTTACACTCTCTGTTAAATTACAAAAACTTAGACTACCCATCAATTTTAATTTCATTTTTCGTTTCCTTTCATTTCTGGAAGTGCTATCTGATGATCCAGCGTCCTTTAAAAGGGCTCTGGTGAAATAAAGTATTATAATGGTACCTTAAAGCGGTTTGTTTTTATATATATATATATATATATATATATATATATATATATATATATATATATATATATATATAGCTGGCCACGCGTATTCGAGGATACCTGTTTACTAGGGCGGCTCGCTAATCCCTATTGCAGACGCTCGCTCTGCAATTTGTGTTTGTTCAATACCCACAGAGTCGACCTGTGTTTTATACTGCAACTATGCTGATCAGACCTTAGTAACAGTTTCTGTGAATGAACAATATGAACAACGCCAGCACACTCAAACTCTCGGTCACAATGACTTGTGACTTCGTGCTAGCCCAGCCATTGAATGCCCCCAGGGATAATTTCTTCCCAATTTCACTGACAATGCTTGGATCAACCCGTGTTATGGCAACTGCTCTGACGAGCTTTTTTCACTGGTGGCCCGACTGCATGAATTTAAGCGTGCTACTAGGTTGGCATCTCGGTCCAACTCTTTCAATGTCGAAATGATTAAATGTAACCACCTCTTCTACTCCAACAGCTTCTTCTCTTGCAATTCCCGACAGTGGAACCCCTTTTCTCTTACTTGCTTCTCTGATAGATATAATCTTAAAATATTCAACTGTAATGTCAATCGACATCTTCTGATGCCTTGATATTGATCCCCGTCCTTCTCTTTATCCTTTCCTCAAACACCCTCCTCTTTACTCTTTACCTTCTGGGACTCTTTGCGTGCTAGTGGCCATCCCGACTTATTCACCACCCCCATCTTGAAGTAATCTAGCATATGAAATAGGAAGAACTGCACTATTGACTGATTAAAATAAATAATAGTGAATAAGAATAAGAATTTTCTTCAAATGTCGGTAGAATTAAAATAAATTCGGTCTTTCAGAAATTTCATCTGAAAAATCTATTATTAAAAATACAAATAAATGGTAAATTTGAATAAAATGTTTTCTATCAAATCATGTTTACAGCCATATCTGCCTGGCATCAGTTTAAACTGATCTCTTTTTTTATAGTGATTTACTAAGCATAGTTTAGACGGAGCACAAGGCCGAAAGTATCCAGACGCAGTTAGGATCGAACTCACTACTCAGTTGTAATTGATGTAGCAAAACATGGTGATTTTTCTAAGCGTAGCTTAGATGTGTCACAAGGCCAAATGTAAAGAGTACCGAATGAGGATCAAACTCAATACGCACTCATAATTGATTTAGCTAAACATGCTTCCTAACCATTACACCAGGTGCAAAAATAGAGATTTACTAAGCGTAGCTTCGATTTGGTACAAGGACGAACGTATGGAGCACCCAGTGAGGATCGAACTCACTAGTCAGTCGTAATTAATCTCGCCAGACACGCTTGTTAATCATTAAACTACGTCGAAGAGACCAACGTCTTTTTTTTTAATACTTATTTTCCACGGAATGTTCACTTTCCAAAATTATAGTTTACAATTCTAGTTTAAATACATAGACCGTGGCCTACATCCGGGTATGGCAATTAGGTCACATGTCATGGGAGTCACGTGGGAGGCACGTTCGAGTGGATCGTCACGACGCCATTGAATAAATAATTGGTAATGTAATATTCATTAATTAGACATTAAGCACTGAATCACCTGGCAATATTCGACATCGACATACCGATTGCTTCTCATGACTTTGATTTTAGAAGGTACTGATTGACAGTAAGCTAGGTGAAGTTTTAGTCCTTCCTCAGTTCTTTACTGATACTCCTCTTTCCTGCAGTACGAGTGAAATAACTTATACAGAGCCGCCGATGCGTATTTTCTCCGAACTGCTCGACTGGAAGAAACAATCGTGATTGGAAGTCCCAGGCAGCTCTCTCTCTCTCTCTCTCTCTCTCTCTCTCTCTCTCTCTCTCTCTCTCTCTCTCTCTCTCTCTCTCTCTCTCTCTCAAAATCACAAACATTTAGATTTTGGGTTTTGTCTCATCTATAGGTCGCCTTATACGTGGAAATAGACGGTATATAGATAAAACGACTAAGAAATAGGTGTTATTTAATAAAAAGATTATAAACGCAACTCTTTTTTCACTCGTCTCTCTTGCTACGTGTCTACGCACCCCTTTCGTATACCTAACATCCCTGTGACAAAGCTTACTTCTTACTATAGAAATACGAAAGAAAACGGTTCATCATGACTGGGGAAAACTATTTATACTGTGGGTATCAGATAAAATCACAAACATTTACCTATATTTTGGGGTCGTCTTATCTATTGGTCGCCTTATACGTGGAAATATGCGGCATATTGATAAAATGACTAAGAACTAAATATTATTCAATGAAAAAATCTAACCCCAACTCTTTTTGTTACAGTCTCTCTTGTCTACGTGTACCCTTTTCAAATACCTAACATCCTCGTGACAAAGCTTTTTTTAGAAACTACTTCTAGAATTGTCTAGAAGTAAAGTAGAACTATTCAGAAAGTCGAAAGATATTTGTGGGTTGCCCGGAAATAGGTCTCTAGTGAGACAGTCGCTGACCTGTCTCCTGGTAATTTTCTTCTCAAAGATGTGTTAGACGTAAGTGGGTCATTTGCTAGAATGTCATTATTGTACATATCCTGAAAGTAGCGATGTTTTCGATTTCCCTTTGCCTTTGGTGTTTCAGAACGCCTCAGTTCCTTTCCAGCCATCCCCAAATCTTTTTTCGAAAATCAATAAACGATTTTTCTCTTTTCTCTCTTCATCCGTCCAGAGATAATAAAAAAAGAGCTATGTCGGTTCTAAAATGATTTCAACTTACAAAATGACACACTGACACAATTCTTTTGTTCTCCTCAATAAACTTCTATGAAGAATTAATACACTGTTCCGTCATTTTTTTAAATCTTTGCAGAAAGTGTAGAATGAGCAAAACACAAATGACAAGGCACCTTATTAAAAAACGTCTTATTATTAAAATTTAATTTTTTTTATTAAAGTCTCGAGAGACATTCAAAGTAGAACTTTATTGAATATGAATGCAAGAGGAGACATGAAATTAATCTTATGAAGATAAGGAGGATAGATATTGATCTTAGATTTGGAGGTTTTAATTATTCAAGGAAGCACCAACACGGGGGCCTGTCAGCAGTTCTTAGAAAAACCTTTCTTTTATAATAATGTTCACCTAATGCAAATGCCAAAGTAGAAGATTGCTGTGTGGTATTGTAAGAACGTCGAACGGACAATAAGTGAAGAACAACCCTGGACTTGAAAAGATCAAGAATGTAGTGATGGGGAAAACATCCTCCCAGCAGTCTGTGCCACAATGCAGCAGTCCTTGGGAAGAAGCTGTCTGAATGGAACTTACTATAGGAATACGAAAGGAAAAGATAACAGTAAATAATAGACTTGAACATATCAAGATTATAGTGATTCGGAAAACATTCTGCTGGTGTCTTTTCTACAAAGCAGCAGTCCTTGGGAAGAAGCTCTCTGAATGGAACAGATTTCTTACTATAAGAACACGAAAAGAAAACGGTTAACTCAACACTTGGAGAGATCAAGATATGGGAAAACATCCTGCTGGGAGTCTGTTCCCAAAAGTAGCAGTTCTTGAGAAGAAGCGGTCCAAATGGAACTTACTTCTTACTATAGGAACACAAAATGAAAGGATAATCGTTAAACATATACTTAAAGAGGTCAACATTGTAGTGATTGAGAAAACATTCTGCCGGAAGTTTGTTCCACAAAACAGCAGTTCTTGGGAAGAAACTGTCCGAATGGAACTTACTATAGGAATACGAAAAGAAATAATAACAGTAAATCATAGACTTGAAGTTGTCAAGATTGTAGTGATTTGGAAAACATTCTGCTGGTGTCTGTTCTACAAAGCAGCAGTTCTTGGGAAAAAGCTGTCTGAATGGAACTTACTTTTTACTATAGCAAAACAAAACGAAAGGATGATTGTTAAACATATACTTGAAGATGCCAAGATTGTAGTGATTGAGAAAACATTCTGCCGGAAGTTTGTTCCACAAAGCAGCAGTCCTTGGGAAGAAGCTGTCCGAATAAAACTTGCTCCTTACTAATGGAATACGAAGGGAATGAAGATGATTCATCCTTGTGCCCGTGAAACGGCAGGTCCTAGTTGTAAGCGTCAAGGAGGGTAGAACTAAGGCATTTACTGCATCATAACTCACCTTTATTAACCGTAATCTTTTCTGCATAACCCCATGAACGTCATATTTTGCATTTTTATTACGCTTATACCACACAACTCAGAGTCCCTCTTGAGAGGACCTTGTATTTGATGAATATTAGTTTAAAAAAAAACTTCAGACCCAGTAGATATACAAACATGGAGCTTCCTTACAAGAGCGATGATTCATCGTGACTGGAGAAAACTCAGTGTCAAACCCGTGAGAATTAAAAGATTCTTTCTTGTTTTTTGAAGTGCTGAAACTTACAAGCCATTTTGTTGTTTTTTTTCGCACCTTGAGCTGTTCGGGCCAGCTCAGAGGAGAGATCAGCTGTCAGGCACCGTTTATCGGGATTTTTGGAGGTGCGTCTATAAACTGCGCTATCATCAGCATAGATGCCATCATGGTACAATGTGCAATTTATTTATCTTGTAGGATACGATTGATCTCAGATAAAGCTATAATATATTCAGTAGTCGGTATCACACCCAACTCTCAGGAAGGACAGATGCATCAACAGATTGAACTGAGAGGTAACCTCCAAGCCACCAGGCACAGATCAGCTCATCACAGGTTCACATGTAAACAGGTGGTCGATCTAGTTACGCTTTAGATGTGTATATACGGAATGAAACGGATAACAGGTAGATATATAAGCACCTACTCGAGAGAAAAGAAGAGAGTTTTCGATCCTGGCAATGATGTAAAATCCACGTTCAACCCAATGCCACAGACCAACTCGCCGACAGTAATTGACGAATCCAGACTTGAATAAGTAATAATCTTGCGTTTGAGATATTTATTCTTGTGTTCTTATTAGCCTGAACAAAGCTACGGTTACAATTTCTTTTGGCGAAAATTCCTTTGGCAAAGTGTTTGTTTTGATGTCTATCGTCTGATTCACTCAATTAATAAGCAATAGATATCGTACAGTTTTCGCTTTCGTCTGCTATCTCTCTTTGCAAGCTGTTATTTACACAAATCGTTATATTGTAAGGAGATGAACTCCAAATTTTTAACTACGCTTGGTGAACGTTGAATGAAAAAGTATTCCAAATCTGAAACGATCTGTAGGATTTTCTTTTTTTATTTAGAGTTCATTTTTAATCGCTTTGCGATTTATTCCACATGAAGCGTTCCCAAAGTTAATGTTTAAGTGGAGCCCGTTCAGATTAATCGCGAATCCCCGAAGAGAATTGGATGGAAATTTTCGACTATCTTAAAAGAAATTAATTCACCGTTTACACACTTTATTCACAATACATAAAAATAAAAATGGTTTATTTTGTTAATACACCCTCTCAAAATAAAACAAGCAAAATGAAGAGAAGAAAAGAAAATGAAGTAAGATTGTGGCTGTCTATATTTCTGAGATGAGTATTAAGTACACTATTTACATTATTCAGACTATTGTCCTTATCTTTGTTGCCATATTTATTACAACGTTTCGGCTCTTCAGGATCTGTCTATATTTCTGAGATGAGGTATTATGTACACTATTTACATTATTCAGACTATTGTCCTTATCTTTGTCGCCATATTTATTACAACGTTTCGGCCCTTCAGTATCTGTCTATATTTCTGAGATGAGGTATTATGTACACTATTTACATTATTCGGACTATTGTCCTCATCTTTGTCACAAGGTTTATCACAACGTTTCGGCCGTTGTACGCTCCGGCCTTCTTCAGGTGGTTGGAATGTCGAACTGAACCCTTTATTTCGCTCACTGGGGTAGACTGTTCTAGTTCCACGTGCCACGTCTAATGGATGCCAGTTATTCCCTGTTAATTCCCCTGTCAAAGTTCATCACCGCTTTAACCAGGTATTGAACTAAAGGACACATGGAACACTGGATAAAGGCGTTAGTTAGATCCAGTGACAAGACCCAAAGAGTTGTGAGTTCAATACCTGGTTAAGGCGGTTGAGAACTTGGAGAGGGGAATTAACAGGAGATAACTGACATCCATTAGACATGGCACGTGGAACTAGAACAGTCTACCCCAGTGAGCGAAATAAAGTCTTCAGTTCAACGTTTTAACTAACTGAAGAAGGCCGGGGCGTACAACGGCCGAAACGCTGTGATAAACATGGCAACAAAGATGAGAACAATAGTCCGAATAATGTAAATAGTTTGAGATTGTGACGTCATTAATTTGCCCATACGTTGCCAATTTGTAACAACATGGATTCGTTTGTTGATGGATAAGTTTTTGTGCTGGATAGATATATATATATATATATATATATATATATATATGCGATAAAATGTTTTGGAGATACTAATGTCGTTGCATGAGAGCCTTTTTTTTCCAAAAGGAGACAGTGCAGTGATTTTATTGTTCTGTATACCATGCGACACGTGATTCCTTACAGAGTAAGACGAACCCAATAACGGAAATAAGACACGTCTTGTCACTTCAGAATACTCTGAGCACAAAAGGCTAAAAGAGGGGATTTATATCATTTCTTTTTATAATATTTTATACAATGCCAACTAGCGACAGTTCGAAGTTCTTTAACAGATCACGTGGTATAAAAACACATTTATATTTGCCGGTGTGTAAGCTTCATATTAGGAAATGTCAGTGCAGATGACGCTATAGTTTATACTTGTACCTCCCAAGTCTCCATATATGGCATCTGATCTCAACTCTGATTTAGCTCTAACAGCTCAATGTGTGGAAAATGGCTTGTTAGGTTCAATACCGCCAAAACCAAAAGTATCGTTTCATCACCTTCAAGCAAACCTTGATTTTCCTCCAGTCTTGATGAACGGTTGTTCTCTCAATGAGGCTGCATACTTTGAACGTCCATTGAGACGCAAATTCATTCCAGACCTAATGTAAAATACGACAAGGGAGTGTTGAAGTTGGGTAGAAATACCTAACTGATCGCTCTCCCAAGAACTACAAGAAGAGAAGGGAAAGAGACGGAGAGAAATAACACAACAGTGCCTCAAAAACGGCGGCAAGCAACTGGGTGGGGAACAAACTGTTCAAAATAACGGCTTCCCAAGACAGCGAGTCTCCTCCACTGCTGATTGCTGGTTTTCCCGTTGCTTTTATTGACAGGAGGCAGTTAACAGAAATCGTTAAGTTGCAGAGAGGCCCGTATCTGGACATGCCAAGCTGTTCTGCTGCTATAGGGGAAAATCCGGATGTAACTCACAAGTATCCAACTCCTTCTGCCATGCTCTATCCTTGCAAGAGTCAGGTCAGCCGAAAAATGGCGTATTGCTAATGTATCTGGTCGGGAGCTGTAAAATCCTCACTTTTTACCAGAGACAGACTTTAAGCATTTAAGCGGTCCTGTAAGCGATTGATTATTTTTCACCCTACATCTCTTTTCCCCACGGACGAAACGTTGAAATACTATCGCTACTCTATCGCTATTTCCATAGGAAATGTTCTGACAAGCTACCTTCCTTAATTCAACCAGTTCAGACCTTTACAGCTAAGACCCGCCATGACACGTACACGGGGTCGACTTATCCTCCTTTCCATTCTTATTCCTTTAGTAAGGAGGAAGTTCCACCCAGACAGCATCCGTCCCAGAACTGTCACTTTGTGTAACCGACTCCCGAGAAATGCTTACCTGAACACTACAGTCTTAAACTCTTTAAGTCTAGAGTAAATCATTATCTATCCTATATGTCATCATCTGCACTTCTTAATTCTTCCTCTTGCGTTGGGGGGGGTCTTGCGCCTTATGGAGAACCATAAAGCTATAAAGGATAAGAAGTTGTGGAGAGCAACGATCACCCTGGTCCTAAAGAGGTATAAAAGAAAAGGCTTACGGTCATATCACGTTGAAACACCCGATCACCGAAGTTAAGCAACGTCGAGACTGGTCATTACCTAGATGGGTGACCGTTTGGAAATATCAGGTGCTGTAAGATTGGATGTGCGAATGGTGTAATGGATAATGGCTCGAAATTGTAAATCCAGCGGAGTTCGTTATTTTGACTTAAGCACAAGAAAAGGTATGAATCCGAAAATGTAGGTTAATTATATCTTCAACAAAATTATTATCTTTAACCCCAACGCGTCTTAGTGGCATTATCGCCTTGCTTGGGATGAAACGATTAAAAAAAATATAAATCTTCTTTTTGTTTCCATTTTCTTTAAAACATCCTTGTTGCTCATATGTTCCGTCCGTAGTATTCTCAGCATCCTTCTGTAGAACCTTATCTCTGTTGCTCCTTCATCTGTGTAGAAGTTGACTAGCATTCACTATAGGAGGATTGACATAACATGGCAGCTCGTCATTTGTTTCTAGTTAAATTTTCCTGTTTCTTAATCCTTTTATTAGTTTCTGAAAAGCCTTTTCGATATTCCAATGCGTCTTCCGATTTCGGTGTCACCTTTTCCATCGTCTGCACTTGGTTGATTTTGGCGTCTTTCATTCGTCGCTCGCACCTCGGGGTGTTCCTGTTTCTAACCACCATACATTTTAGCCTTCTACAGCTGATATTTAGTCCATTCTTCAAGCATTCCATCTGGCAGCTAGACCTCTGATCGGAAGATTAGAGGTTTTGAGAAGCATGGAGTAATCTCTTAATTGATGTTGTTCCCAGGTCTACCTGTTAGGGTCTCGGCTTTGGGCAAATAGTTAACCTCTAAACAAAGATAAAAAAAAAAAACTAGGAAAGTATAAAAATATATTTTTATAGTATAAAATAACAATAATATTTTACAAAATAACTTAACATTACATTTTCAGAGTGAAATGACCAACAACACAACACTAAAAAGTATAAAATTATTTACAAAATATCCGTAATTGAAGGCATAAAATGGCGTTTAAAATATTTAGATTGGGTATAGAGATGTTGATATGCCGCTAAACAAAAACGAATAACATAAAAGAAAAAAGCTTGAAAAATCCCAAATTGAAAGTTTATATTTCCACCAAGACTTATTTTTAAAAAATTCCATCCTCACTTCTTATTTTATTCTTATTTATTCCTTAAATTTTAAGGAAATGATTCTTTAGACTTGATTTGAAACAGATGCTGAAATTTCATTCAAATTTTAATTCATTTAATTTGAAAAATTCATTGGAATCATAGCAAATCAAAATAATATATTAGTCATATAACGTCGTGTTTTCTCTCGTTATTTAAAAAAAAATAATGTAAAATTTCTGGCTGAGAAAAGAACATTGACAAGTGTCTCTTATGAGAAATATTCTATTGAAGAAAAGAAAGTCATTGCAGAAATGTAAAATTGAATAGGAACAGGAATTAGAGAGTGATTCGAATAGAATTAAATGAAAAGGTAAAATATATTGGGATGCTAAACGAAAAAGACGTGTTTCTGACACACCAAGACAAGGATATGATTCAACTCCTTTCTCCAAAACTAGGATAGCTAAAAATAGTCACTGAAAGAAAATATTAACAATGAAAAAATATTAGAAACGATTTTTTAAAAAAAATATTGTTAAACAACACCCCCTAAAAATCAAGGCCTTAATGCTACTAAGAGGCACGTGGATTACTGAGAGTGAAAGAAAATAAGAAAACTTTAGAAAGAACCGGGAGCCCAATCCTGAACAGAAAAAAAATCAACCTCTACTCCTGTTCAAAAGACCGGAAAGGAGTGTGAATTAGATAACAGGCTTTTTGTTAGATTCCTGTTTAATTACGTCTTCTTTATTTCTTTTTATTTCTATTTTTTTTTTTTTTTGTTTCATTAATTATTTTTCTTCATTTTCTTTAGTTTCTTCTTTTTTTATCTTCTTTTTGTTTCATCATTTTTCTTTCTTCTTCGTTTGCTTATCAAAATGTCCAGAGATTATTTCGTATTCTACCCTTTTCCCTCCTGTCATCCTTTTATTTCAGTTTATTCATTTTTTAATATAATTTCCACGTTCACCATCATGGCGCCATTGATTTTGATTTAACAAAAAAAAATATGAAGATTAGGAAGATTATGTAGAGCCAATCTACCCATTGAAGAGCTGCTGCTTGTCTTAAATTCAGCTCACAAATTCGCACAATAACCAGGGCACAATCGCCTGCTACGAGCGCCTGTGAAAATGACGAAAAGATTGCTCTTGCAATCTGGTCGGCCATTTTGAATTATTTCACTCGTTCAGCTTCAGGTAATTTTAACTTGATTTTCTCTTCACCAATGAGCAGAAAGTTTTTGAGTAGCACTTAAGACAATTCTCGAGAGAAAACGGATAAATTCCAAGCCGAGTCGGACTAAAATCGAATCAGTCGAGTTCTTTGAGAATCTCCACGGCTTTTCTTTATCAATGGCTTCCACTTATACCAGAGATTTTTTTTTCTTTGCCGAGAATTGGTGCCCGCTATAAAAGATTTTCATATGCCGGATAAAGAATTTTTACAAGGCTAATACTAGAAGCGTTAGGCTTACTGGGCAGCAGAAAATACCTTAGATAAAACGAACCTAACGAACAATTGATCTGGGATTTTTAAAGGAACACTTGCTTCAAATTATATATTTTATCAATAAGAACATCAGACGTGATATATATATATATATATATATATATATATATATATATATATATATATATATATATATATATATATTTAAGTTATGAAAAACTTGGTAATCCGTATGGGTAGTCCCAAGGAGGATGAAATCCTGAGAGCTCAATGTAAATCCGGAGCTAATGTATTAAAGAAAACTTTAATATATATATATATATATATATATATATATATATATATATATATATATATATATATATATCGTTATGTATCGTTATCCCATATGTATATATGTGTGTGTGTGTGTGTGACTGTGTGTGTGTGTGTGTGTGTGTGTGTGTGTGTGTGTGTGTGTGTGCGTATTTAGGCAGCAATCCTTCTTTCATGCACATTTCATTGAATACAACAGACAAAGTGCCTTGAATTATTTTTTATACAATTTCTCATGCGATCTAATAATTTTTTCTTTTCAGATGATAAATCATAAAAAAAAATCTGTCCAAATGTTCTTTTAATCCGAGCGCTTTCGGCTATACATTTAGTCATTTTCAACAAAATTAAATAGGGCAAATATTACTTACAAATTTAAATGCCCATTAAGGAATTGTATTCCTGATCAATCAAAATTCGTAAATAATTATATAGGCCACACTACAACATGTTTGACACTCAGACTCACTCTACACCTTTCTGACCATAGTTCAATTAGATCTTATTTAAATATTCATGGAGACCTACCGGACACTATTTGTAACATACTTGTTGACAACACAAATATAATAGCATCATCTACATGCAAAAAACAGGCTAATAATAATGGAAGCCTTATTAATAAAAGAAAAAAGAAACAACACTTAATAATATCAACTATGAACATGGACACAATATCTTGACCATGTTTGAAAAATGGAAATATTATATAAATACATACATGCAACAAACTATTTCTTATTTAACAGTTAAAATATTTCATCCTTGAAAACGGCTAAATGTATAGCCGAAAGCGCTCAGAGTAAAAGTATATCATTTATCTTCTGAAGAGAAAAAAAATTATTAGGTCGCATGAGAAATTGTATAAAAAACTAAATCAAAGCACCTTGTCTGTCGTATTCAATGAAATGTGCACACACACACACACACACACACACACATATATATATATATATATATATATATATATATATATATATATATATATATATATATATATATGGGATGCATATATCAAGAAAAATTGTGAGTAAAGATGTATGACAAAATGTAAAAAGTTTTTTGCGTGACGCGTTTCGGCCTTTAGGACTTCATCAGACTAAGTTTTTTTATGTTGGTGGGACTTTATATCATTTTTAGTGGATACTCGTATTTCAGTAGACGTTCTGTTTATTTTAAACAGTATTTTATTTTGTATTTCGCTCATCGGACAAAACTCATTAAAGAAAATGTGCTCTCTGACACGATCCGAACATGCGCTTTTCATGAAATAAAAACTAATATATATATATATATATATATATATATATATATATATATATATATATATATATATATAATTTGTAATTAATATTCATTTTATTTCATTTATCGTATATATTATGATTATTATATTTATTTGAAGTTATATATATATATATATATATATATTATTTCCTTCAACTTTTTCCACAATTACCATGTTTTCTATATTTGTATTATGTATTAGTATTTATTTCTTTTTACGCAATTGACATAAAAGACGTTTATCTTATTTTTACTTCCTGTCTTGTTCACCTAAAACTATATTTATCAAATAATTTTAATTTCATTTAAAGCTATTGATTTTCACCTCTCGTTCATTTTTTTTTTTTTTTTTTTTTTATCAATTGACTGTTTGGATAACAGTACTGTCAAAAAGACAGTATAAATTTAGGGTACTTACCAGTACTGTCAAGAAGACAGTATAAATTTAGGGTACTTACCAGTACTGTCAAGAAGACAGTATAAATTTAGGGTACTTACCAGTACTGTCATTAAGACAGTATAAATTTAATTTAAGTACGAGTACTGTCAAAAAGACAGTATAAATTTAGTGTAGTTAACAGTACTGTCAAGAAGACAGTATAAATTTAGTTTAGGTACCAGCACCGTCAAAAAGACAGTATAATGTTTTTAGAAATTAATTTTTTATTTATTAATACACCATATTTTAAATTATCATTAAAGATTTCTCGATTATGTACATATGTACATATGTATATCTGTATATAACCAAGTACAGGGTTGGCACAGATGGAATAAAATTCCGATAGCCAAAAACACTATTCTTAAAAGAGTAGAGCGAATAATATTCTATTCCATCAGTACCAACTCTGTACTTGGGTAGTAGTTCCTTTTATAGGTGAGTACTGTCCACTCTATTTTTTAATACTATGGATAGAAACAATTTCGGAATA